CGGTTTCACCAAAAATAATAAATAAATAAATAAATAAATAAATAAATAAATAAATAAAACTAAAAACAGATTGGGAATTAGGAACTCTTATATTCATTTTCTTCTCCTACAATATAACCTGTCAACATGAATTGCTAGCATTTGTCTTTTAGAAATACTAACTTGGGTTGGGAAGATAGCTCAGCAGTCTAAGTGCCTGCCTAGTAAGTGCAAAGACTTGGGTTTGATCTGCAGTATTGCAAGCTGCACTCTGCCACTAAAACCAGGCATGGCAGCACATGTCTGTAATCCCAGCGCTGAGCATCACTATGAGTCTGAGCTGCATAGTGAAACCCTGTACCAAATAAATAACGATTTTTTGGGGGTGTGAGTGCTGGCTCAGGATGCCTTTAGGGCAGGTCTGGCAAGGCTTGAGGATATGGGGCTCGAATCACAGCATCCTGAGCCTGACTGCTTTGTTGGAGCAGTCACTTAAACAACTGAGCTAATGGGCAGGCTCCCTCAAATAAATACATAAACATATAAATAAATCTTTAAAAATTAAATAAAAATAAAAATACTAACATACCATTGCCTTACATGAATTAATTATTCCAGCACAGGATATGCACCACTATAATCAATTAAGAAATGGCTTTACAGTTTTTTTCAAATTTTTTTGAGACAGGGTCTTGCTATATATTTCAGATTGGCCTTGAACTCACTATGTGGCCCAGGCTGGCCTCAACCTTCTGTGTACTGCGATTACAGGTGTGTGCTGCCACACCAGGCTGGATGGTATTATAGGACAATGGTAATACAATGTCTGTACCTCAGGCCTCAGAGAAGGAAGAATAACAATTTCTTGCAAAGCTTGTTTTGCCAGCTCTTGACCAGCTATATCATCAAATTTAACAGCTGTCCCACTAAGAAAAAGAACTCTGATTAATTCCAGTATAAAAATATGGTTCAATTATTACAGCACATAGGAACTATATACGCTATATGAAGTATAATCATTTTTATGCTATGAAACTATAATTTAGTAAAAATGATATTCTATATTTAAGCAAAAACACTATCTTTTGTATGTAAAGAAGGGAAGAGGGGTTGAAAGGAGGGGAGAAGAATGGGAAAAAAGAAACAAGATATATCACATACAAGGACAAATTTCCTATAATTAATATTATCAGTATGTATACCTAACATGTACCAATAAAAAAGTAAAATAAATAAATGTGCCCTACAATAAAAACTATCACAAAAATTAAGTATGTAAATCACAAAAAACACTATCTATCCTCCTCGTATTTTTTCAGAATGAAAGTAATTTTATTATGAATTGGGTCCTGCCTGTTTAAATTCTTCTTCGACTTTATTCCCAAGTTGAACTTCCTCTATATTTTACTTGTGATATATTTTATAAATACAATTCAAACAGAGAAACTATATAATCTTTAGATGGCAAAAACTTACTTGTCCACAATTTCATTCATTATAAGGTTAGCAAGGTTACTGTCCACATTCCTAAAATTCTTCAAGTCTTTCTTTTTCCGAGCAGCAGTTGTAGGGGTTGAAGGCTTATTTGTCCTATTTGTTTTTGGAGTACCCTTAAAAGATATAAATCAATATATAACTCATCATACTTTTCATATGTGAATTAACCTAAGTTCACAGAATTCAGTTTTAACAAATAGGAAAAAGAATATAAAATTTCAAAATTGTCTGTTTACTGTAGGGCAAAACTAAATTCACTATACAACTATATTTAACATGAAGCTGCTTTACAGAGATTTTATTCTGAGATTTAGGTAATATAAAATAGGTCTGGGACCAAGGATGTAGCTCAGTGGCACAGTGCCAGCTTGGCAAGCGAGAGGCCCTGAGTTTGATTTCCAGTACCCCTCCCCACAAAAAAAGAAAAAAAATAAAGAAAATAGGTCCTATGACAACAGTAAGAGAATTTTGATCCTTATCAGAACTATAATAAAACTCTAACTATATTTAATATTAAATTAACATGAACTGAAATTAGTATATCATGATATTGAACATACTGGGTAACTCAATTTAATATGAAATGCTAATAAGATCCAAAAGGATTAAGTACGGTTTGGGTTTGCTCTTTATAGCAAGTTTACCCTTATAAATTAAAATAAATTATATTTTAACTGTGGAATCATTGATTTTCTAAGTAAAAGTTCTTATAATACACTTAAGCCAATATAGCATTTCTATTTGCAAAAGCATAGCAATTAAAGACACTATCCTATAATACCTTATGAGTGACAGTTGTAGGACCAGGTCCCTGTCTTGTTCCAGAAACCATGGACAAACTACTACAACTGGGTGCTCTGTGGTGACCTGAAAGACCTGCAGATCCAGTTTTCATAACTGTTTTTGAACGAGGCAGTGAATTACTAGCATGTGTTAAAGGATCTTTTCTTTTTGGAACAGCTCCACTTTCTATTGAAAAAAGTAAAAAACATCAGGATTAGATAATTATGGCTAAAAATTATGAAAACCAATAATAAAGACAAATACAAATTTACAGAACTAAGGCAATAATATTTTTAGAATTCAGAAATATTTCAAAGATTTGAATCAGAACATATGGCACAGTGTTTACAGGGGTTTTCAGTTCTTGTAAAGGATCATGGCTAGTAGATATCTCCTTTTCCTGACACACAGTCTAATTTTCTTAGGAAGAAACGTATCTATAAGAAAAAGAAACAACTTCATTTGTGAGGAATGGAAGTTATAATAAAGGTATCAAGTAAATAAAGCTCTCATATACTTGAGACAAAATGTAGTAAAGATAAGAGGGATAGATTATACACAGGAAAAACACAGTATCCACTATTTTGGTAGCAAATTTACATGTCTATAAAACACTACGGAAGGGGCCAGTCAAATAGCTCAGTGGAATAAAGCACCTGCTTAGGCAGATGCAGAGGTCAGGGTTCGATCCCCTGGTGCACCGGGACAGCCCGGCCCATGGGGTATGCAGAGAGGGCAATAAGAGACTGGGCGTGGTAGCACGCCTGTAACTGCAGCTCTTGGGAGGCGGAACACAGGTAGATCACTATGAGTCTGATCTATGTAGTGAGACCCTGTAAACCCTTACTAAAAACAACAACAACAACAACAACAAAAAAAAACCAACTAAACAAAAAACTATGGAAGGATCAGCCTATGCTCACTGAAAGTTTGTGTATGTGTGAGAGAGACAGACAGAGATACAGACAGAGAGAGAGAGACAGAATGACAGAGACAGAGAGACAGAGACAGAGAGAGGAAGAGAGACAAAGACAGAGATAGGGTCTCAAGCTGGTGTTGAACAGAGTAGTAACAAGTATTGCAGCAATAAGCAAATTAGACTAGTTTAACTTTGCTTTTGTTATCAAATCCCTTAATATGATTTAAAGAACTAAGGGCTCTAAACTAGTACAGAGAATAAATCTATTTATAATCAGAAAGAATAAAATTCAACAATTAAAAGAATCCCATACTAGAATGTATTATACTCCACATATTAGTCCTACATTTAGCTACTGTGGGAACTAAAATCAGGACTTCTATGATAAATGAAAAAATATGCTTAGCTGGGTGTGGTGGTACATGCCTGTAATCCCAGCCCTTACTGCAAAGCTGAAGCAGGAGGATCATTGGGAGTTTGGAGACTAGCATGGGATACAAAATGAGCTCAAGGCCAGCCTGAACAGCACAGCGAGACCCTGTCCCACAAAGACTGGAGGGGGGGAGGAGAATACTGAGAGACATTTATTTATTTTTGAAGACTGCTCTGGACTCACTATGTAGCTCAGGCTGGCCTTGAACTTGTGGCAATCCTCTTGCCTCAGCCTCCCAAGTACTGGGATTACAGACGTGCGCTATCATACCTGGCAGTTCGTTTTCTTTTAAATATTTGAACATATTTATAATAAATACTATAAAGTTTTGCTAAATCCAACATCCAGTCCAACTCAAAGGTATCTACTATTTTCTTGAGTAAGGATCACACCTTCCTGATTTCTTTGCATATTTAGTAATTTTGGGTTAAAGCTGTACATTATAGGTAACAGTAATAAGCACACTAACTAATCATTTAAGAAAGATGAGTTCTTCCTGTGAGTGGCCTAAAGTGACCCCTGAAAATGGTTTGCTACTCTCAACCCAGAAAACCCCACAAAATCATGCAAATCAAGAGGCTCAAATCTTCGTATTCACTTTAAGAACACACATGAAACTGCCCAGGCCATCAAGGGTATGCATATCCAAAAGGCCACCAAGTATCTGAAGGATGCCACATTAAAGAAGTAATGTGTGCCATTCTGGCATTACAATGGTGGAGTTGGGGCCGGGGAGATGGCTCAGTAGAATAAGTGCTTGCCTGGCAAGCCCAAGTGTCTGAGTTCAATCCCCGGTTCCAAAAAAAAAAAAAAAAAAATGGTGGAGTTGGTAGGTGTGCAAGACCAAACAGTGGGGCTAGACGCAGGTTTGGTGGCCCAAAAAGAGTTCTGAATTCTTGCTGTACATGCTTAAAAATGCAGACAGTAATGCTGAACTCTTAAGCATAGATTCTCTGGTTACTGAACACATCCAGGTGAACAAAGCGCCCAAGATGTGCCACTGTACTTAGAGCTCATGGCCGCTTAATCCATCCATGAGCTCCCCCTGCCATATGGAGATGATCCTTACTGAAAAGGAACATACTGTTCTAAACCAGAGGAGGAAGTTGCACAGAAGAAAAAGATATCCCAGAAGAAACTGAAGAAACAAGAACTTATGGTGCAGGAATAAGTTAAGCATAAAATAAATGCAAATAAAATTTTTAAAAAAGAAAGATGAAATAACTCATCTAGGTTAAGCCATTTCTGAAGTGAGTGACACTAATAAACTGGGCCTAAATGAGCCAGGTCATTCACTAGGGAACATTGTATTTCCAATATCAGAATGTATAAACTAGCTCTGAAATTAATATGCCCCTCCAACTATAAAACAGAATTAATAGACCTCAGAGATTACTAGGGATCTGAAGTAGGACAAAGTTTGATGTTTTAAAGTATGGGTTCAAGGAAAAGAAGTTTGCTGCCTCTCCCCTTTTTGGCATGGCAGAAAAATACAGTAGGATCCAGTATGTATAATGCATTATTAGAGATCAGAATCACCTGGGTGTGGTGGTGCATGTTTATAATCCCTGAATTTAGGAGGCTGAGGTAGGAGGATAGATGCAAGTTCCTAGCCAGCCTGGACTGACAGTGAGACCCTGTCTCAAAAAATCCCAAAAACACAAGGTGTAGTAATGCACACCTGCAACTCCAGCACTTGAAAGGTGAGGCCAGGAGGATTGCTGTGAGTTTAAGGTCAGCCTAGGCTACACAGTGAGTTTTAAGACCAGTCTGAACTACATTGTGAGACTCTGATCAAAACAAATAAATAAATAAATGAAATTTTAAAATTATAGTAAAGACACACTGTCATTAATTGCCCTCAAAGCAGCTCTCCTTGATTTGAACACCTCTATCCCATTGTTCTTACTGCTTTCAGAGATAGTTCAGGAAGTCCTCTTTTTTGAATACTTGTAATTGGCTGCCTCAATGTCTTAGAGAAGTCAAAACATGTACCTTTCATGGTTAACTTTGTGGAAAAGCTAGAAGTAAACACAGTGCCAGACCCAGAGAATAAGGTAGATGTGAACAATTATGTTTGTATTTGACAGAAGTTGCCATTAATCTTTGATCAATGCTTGTTCAAAAAATATGGTGGTGGGGCCGGGGAGATAGCTCAGTGGAATAAGCGCTTCCCTGGCAAGCGCAAGGGCCTGAGTTCAATCCCTGGTTCCACCAAAAAA